TTAAGGTGGCTCGTACCAGTTTCCTCGCGCGGGGAACAGGTCACTCTTGCGTGACGCGCGCGAGAGAAACGTGCGAAAGAAGCGCGAGATCAAAAGATGAAAATTCAAAACAAAGATGGCGGCGCGTGGAATTTTTTCTACTTTTGTGAGAAGTTTACCTAAGAGCTTGTATTTGATGTGTTGAGCGGCCACTGTGAATGCAGGAGATAGAAACTAAGATAACGAAGACGATTTTCGGAGAAGTAAAGGTTGCTTCACTTCACATTTAAAAGAAATATTCAACCGATATGAAATCTTGCGACGGCGAAAAAAGAAGAACTCAAGTGAAGGATAATCTACCTGAAGTGGAAGAAGACTTTGAAACTTCAAGGAAAATAATATGATATAGCCAGAAGTCATGTGTAGGATTTTTAAGATGAGCTCGGGAGGCTGTCTTTGACGGCTGTTTAATGATTTTCTTAGCAGTAAACGTCTGTAAACATCAGATCGTAGGTGCTCGCGCGAGCACACGCAATTGTCAGCGGTAGCTAAAACAGATCATGAGCAAATGTCGATCTTATAGAATCCAGATTTTTAAATGCGCGAGAACGCGCGTGGAAATTGCTAAACTCACGAAAGCTATTGCATGAAAACAAGTCCGGTGACCCCTTCTTTTTATTGTTCCAATATGATAATAACGTCGAAAGGAATCATCAGAAAAAAAACTAGAAAATTCTACGGAAGGAAATTTGCGATGTGTGAAAATTGCCCTTTTTGTAGATTTTCTGAAATTCCGCTCCGTAGAATTTTTTAAAAATCTTTGTGCATTTTCCTTTTCAAGTGCCAAAAGCAATCACTGAAAAAAATCAGGGGGTCACCGGGTTAGTTTTCGAATTATTTAAGCCACAAGCTAAAAAATGCGTCTGAATAAGCCTATGAAAGCGTTGCCATGGAAACTGCTAGTGACGAAATGACACTTATTTTTGGATAACCAATTATTATGTAATTCAACCCCGTAAAAGTGTTCAACTGGCCTTGGTCAGTCTTTCTGTTGTATTCTTTCAAAGTTACAAACCATCAAAAAGATGAAAACCGGTACGAGCCACCTTAAAACGCACATGCTGGGCTATTGTTCTGCCAATTAGACCTATTGTTTTTTCCACGTTCTCGTTGCTGTCGCCGTCGTGGTTTGCTTAAAGTCCCTAACGTAACTAAAAGGGTATCGTCTGTTGGCAAGGCCTTGTGAGAGGTTTGTTCATGTTTTTCCTTTAAGTACTCTGATAAGATTTGAAAACTGGAGACACCATTCTATGGTGTCGTCCTCGTTGTACTTGAAGTAAGTGGTACTCAAGGGTTCCGCTATTCTTTGATTCCATCTGTCAGACATGCTAATGTTGCAATGGATTTTCGTATGGTGGTTTGAGTGTAGTGGTTTGCAATGGAATTGGTACACTTTCTCAGTAATTGTCACAAGTTGTCGCGAGTATCTGTACATGTACAGTCTCGACAGCGTCAAATTGTTTTCGGCATCTAGAGTTGTTAGTAATCGGTTGCAGTATAGTCTGGCGTTAGGTGGCGCACAGTTATAGTGTAGGAGTGCCACAGAGAAAAAAAAATGATTATTTGAGTCGAAAAGCCTGGTTTTGTGCAGTCCAGCCTGGGGGTCCAGTTAAAGTGTTATTCATTGATTGTTATTTGTGTCTAAAGCAGTTGACCATACGTAGCCTTCTGAAAGGTTCGTATCGAAGTTTTCAAGTCGCGTCAGAAATTAGTACTTCGCCTTTTATTTCGTTGCTGAATGTGTTAATGTTTTCTTTAAACTTGACGTTCTTGATCTTAACAGAAGTATCTCGTCCTTCGACGGCGGTCGGTGAAACAGTTGCTTTAAAGTCGGCTCATTCGTCGGCAGTAGGTATCAGTGGTTAAGTTTGTCAAGATGATGTGGAAGTTGAGTACAATGAAGCAATTGTTCATCGAAATTTGGACTCATCCTTTGCAAGTTCCTTTTTTTGATATTCTAAGATAAATTTCCGTCTACTGTCGAACCAAAGAACCTTAAATAACTAGTAATTTCGATCAAAATAATGTTTTGGTTAGAAAATTATGTCGAGAATTGGGCCACCTTTAAAATTTTAGACGTTGATACACCACCACAAACAGTTTTCGATATAAGATTCAAGGCTAAACATAAAGCGGCATTCTCCCGGCTTTCGAAAATAGATTTCATGATAAGTTTGTTCGTATCAGACCCATCGAGTCGAAAAAAATTCTTTTACTAATCTTATTTCAAGAGGCTTTGATAGAAAACCGCTCTAAAAATTTTAGCTTCTGAATCTTTAAGGGGGCAATTGTATTTGAACGACTTTTCAAGCCAGGAATTTTCTACTTTTTTTGTGTGTGTTCAGTCAATATTGAATGAAATTTATCAGTATTAATGATCGAAATTGGTCAGCTGTTCAACTACAAAGGCCCCATTGTGAGTAAAACGTTAAATTTTAATTCTTATCTTTGTCGTTCCCAATTCTAAGAGTCCTTTGAATGCTCTTGAATCCTTGGTTGTGATTTCCTCCCACGTCCATGTACTGCGCTTTTCACGAGTAAACCAACTTCATACTTGCGCTGATGTTCCTGAAATATAGAATGGTAAAAGGAAATTAGACTTCTGTTGAAGATTTCTCTCAGTATCAGTAAAGAAGCTAAGAATAGCCATTTTCAGTTGTGAACTCTTGTACTTCCAGAAAGAGAGACGAATTCTCATTACAGTTTAAATGCAACTCTAAGGGACAGGTAATGAGAGTTTTTGAGTCACAAGTTACAAACAAATGTATGGTCATTTGTTGGTAGAATAGTTATCAAAATTTGTAAAGTTGAAGGGTTGAAGTGATGTTTGGGTTATTAGGCCAGGTTCTGTCATTATTGCAAGTAAAGAAAAGCCTATCCACATAAAAAAAAAATGTCAAATTTTGAAGAGGATAATCTGAAATGTCTTAAACACGAAGGCGCGCTATAAAAGGAGCCTTAGGTCCAACTGGACCATTTGTCAATCAACCGTCGTGTGATGTACAATTCTTAGAGTCAAGTCAGCTTGAGCTACAGCTACTCCAAAGCAGTGAACAGCGGGCGCATTCCTCAAAATTGTTTTTTGTCTTCATCATAATACAAGAATTTTTGAGATCTGTATCTCCTTTTTCCAATGGAAACTGTCTTTATTTGTGGCGGTAAATTTGAGATCGAAGTAGGTGGTTCGCACATTACCTCATGCCACCATGCTGGTGGAAGTAAACAATAGATATCTCATTAGCTCCTTTTGTTCGTCTACCAGCATTTAAATTTGACCCGCACACGTCAACGGTGAGTGACAAATGAGCCTAGGTCTTCCCAGGGAAGACTTCCTTATATAGCGCGCCTTCGTGTTTAATTTCTGATCTAGCAAGTTTTGTTTGGCCATTATTGTTGACTAGGCTTTTTTGTAGTATTGAGAATGAATGGCGTGCGATTCTTTTATGCCATTTTTCCCGCAATTGTTCTTGCAGTTGTAATATTTGATAGCTTATAGTAAGCGTTTCAAGATACCCTGGAAGGTTCATTAATTTCAAAGGCTTGCAGACGAGGGGAGTGGAATTATTGAAGGGTTTATCAGAGGGGACCCATCGGAGTGGGAGTAATCAAAACTTACTTAATTGTCATTGGTTGAAAAAAACAACC